CTACCATGCCGATAAAGACAAACCTCCTCCAACCGAGAGTTCAGAGCGACATTCCGAGTAAACTCCAAGAAGCAAAGAAGAGACAGCGCAAGTACTACGACAGACAAGCTAGAGACTTGCCCGATCTCAAGGCTGGCGACATAGTAAGATGCCAACCAATGACCCCAACCGCTAAACAGTGGAAGAAGGCAACAGTGGTAGCGGAGGTTGGGAAGCGATCATATGAGATAAGAACAGAAGACGGAGGCAGCTACCGCAGAAACAGGAGGCACCTACGTAAAACAAACGAGGAAGCCCCAGACATGACCGCCGTGGAGGAAGAAAACAACCCTCCATGTCCAGCACCGACAACACCAGCAGCTGAGACAACAGTGCCAGTGGAACACGCAGCTGCACACGGACAGCCGATGACAACGAGGTCCGGCCGAGTTGTGCAACCACCAGCACACCTGAAGGATTACGTGCGCGCCTGAAGGATTACGTCCGCGAGTGATTAGTATGTAATGCATGCAGTTTTGAAGTAGAACTCGAGGACTGAACTAACAAACTAATGAACTAACAGGAAGAGAACCTGGAAAAGACCAGAAAGCACAAGGACTCTAGTGTGCATAAGAACTGACATGCCAAAGAACTCTAAGGCAAAAGATATGTGAATGTGTAAGATCGGAAAAGATCCATTGAGAGAATGTAACTAAAGAAAAGGGGATGTAACATATGGTAATGTTTAAGCAGCTTACTTAACATAAAGAATAACACGCATGCGTAGCGTCAGACGACAAGAAGAGACGAGCCAGACAGAAGGTCTGAGTTGGTGACTAGAGAATAAACCAAGCCGATTCAAGTATTCCAGCTTGGAGTCACGTTATTGGATTACTACCAAGAGGTAGGGGCACGACAACAGAGTCTAAGAGAAGAGACAAAAGTCGTCGCATCAGCAAAATGAAGAAATCATTACACTAAGGACTCCCTGGATGCTTTTATGGTACTGCAGCAAAAATTGACACTGTGAGTGATGATTGGCATAATCAAATGGCAGTTATGCAAATCAGGGGCTAATTTACGTGATTAACTACAAAACAGTAACAAATTCCCAGTAAACACAAGCAGATAGCAACTTTAAAATGAAGTTTTCATTTGCATTATTGTGAAAATGCTAATACCATAATGACAAATGTTGGGAAGTTTATAATTACAGTGTAGTACTTGACTATACAATTGTCTAGTTGGATTCAGTCAGTTACAACATGTAAGACTTACCAGCATCATCTGTTGTGCCAGGTAAGCCTGCTGCTGAAGCATGGCCTGCTGCATCAAGGCTGGGTTCCCCACACCTGAACAGGCAATACATGTACACATTCACAATCACACACACACAAGCAGTATGACAAATACATGTAAGCTATATAACTATACATTGTCAATATCTATCTATCAATTGAAAGATATTATAGATAAACAATGTAGATTATCAGATAGATATAGATACATACATAGATATAGATATAGATACATACATCTGTGTCCATAATATCACCAGGGTCCATAATATCACCACCTTGAGAAACAGTGTGCTTAAAATATATTTTCACTGCAACATACTTTTGGTATGTACTCCTTCACACTTCAAATGTACATACCTACAATGTGTAGGGTATGTTGCAGTAAAAATATCTTTAAGCACACTATTTCTCAAGGTGGTGATATTATGGACCCTGGTGATATTATGGACACAGATGTAAGATACATTTATTTATGTCCTGGGTGTTCCGGCCCGTGTGATAACTAGCGGTACGGCCCAGGGGTTCTTTACGCATACAGCCCGGGCCTTCCAAATGCTCCATTTTTTTCTTGTTAATATTACGACATTGGGTCCAAGTAAATACTGTAGATCACTCTATATTTGCTGCACATTCATATAATCACATTTTCATATCCTGGATCTATCACAAACTGAACAAATAATTCACCGACTTTCTTTCTTCTGCACCTGCTGCCACCATGAACATATTGTTCCGCAAACATGTAACGTTATATTTTTCTCAGGCCTTGAAATTTTGCTACCACCAAGCAATTTACAGTAAGAAATGCAAAGAGCCTAGGTCTCTAGGGGTGTAAAGAAAATGAAAAAAAAAGGAATGAAAAGGAGCGAAAAGGAAGAAATAGGAGTGAAATGGAATGAAATTGAACTTCTTTCACAAACCTTGCATTAGCCCCATACTTGGCAAGAGTCCCATTCCCATTACTCCTGGTTGCATTCCCATCATGCTATTTGCTGCAGTAAGATCTACATTTTGCCCTGCCATGTTGTGAGTAGTAGAGGTTGTTCCTGTAGTCCCTCCAGCTCCAGGTGGTGCAGGTGCCTGTCCACCTCCCTTCATGTGCACTCCCATACCAGCTGCATCACCAAGATCAGAGCTGTCATCTGACAAGACAGGATTGAACAGTCTGTCCAGGTAGTCATCAAGACCAGACTGGGACAGTTCACTATGGGGGAGAGACTGTCCCCCCACAGAACGGCCTCCAACACTCCTGTGCCTGCTTCTTGCATCTCTCTGTGGTCTCATGCCCATTCTCCTGTTGGATACATGGTGTTGAGGAGTTGATAAAGACGATGCTGGACTCCCGGGGGCCTGGCTGTACCTCTGCCCATCCTCTGCGCCATAGTCTGGTGCAGGTGGCAGTCCATAATCACGAACGGGTAGTTTGTAATCTCCCTGGTATGTCAGATAGTCGCTGGTGTCTGACACATGGACTGGCACTGACTCTTTATCAGCAGCTTGCCACTGAGCAAAGTTATGAACATACTGTTGGGACACTTCTGTGTGCTTTATGGGGCCATCATGTGGATATCCCCTTACTCCAACCTGTAACAGTGGAGAAACCTTGGTGGGGACGTCTGAGAATGATATGTCCACTTCCTCAGCATTGCTCGCCATTTTATCTGATGATACAAGAAAGAATGATTTGCAGACAGGGAATCCAGGTGCCATTTCCATCTCTGCAATGAGATCTAGAACATAGTCGTACCCTGCCAGCTCATACTCCTCTGTTCCATCCTGCAGCACAACAGTCCAGCCCAGGTTCTCATCATGGACCCCTCTGAAGGAAAAACATCTTTTAGTTTCACCTGGTCAAGACATGTGAGTAAGCCTGATCTTGACTTTTATCACTGATTTGGGGGAACGTATATCAAGGTTAAATTTACAATGCAAGCCTATGGCCATGCCAATTTTATTTGTTGCTTAGGCCACACCAATTCAATTTGTTGGTCATCAGATTTTTTCATAAAAAAATATAAATGACAGGTTGAAAAAAAATAAAAACAGGTGTATAGGCTTTCTATGATAGCCCCAAATGCTACAATAGGAGCCATGAATTCAACACAAAAGGCTTGGTTAATATCTTAACAATGAATTTTGAACTTTTTATCAAACTCTGCATTGGATAGATGGAAAAACTGTGGGAACTAGGAAGAATGTAAGGACTTTCCTCAACTGTTGGGGGGCAAAATCTGTGCATTTTTGAGTTGGTTAGAATCTTTTTTTTTTTGCAAACCAGAAAAAAATGAAGAGGCGAATCCGAGACAAACATATCAAATTGGTGTGGCCTTATGGATTTTCAGTGACAGGGCGGGGAAAAATTCCATAATTATGGCACTTCTGTCACCCTGGTATTATTCTAGCCAAGTGGCGTTGACCAATCAGAAGCCCCCATTTCATATTGACTATGACACTATAATGTCACAGTTAGCATGATACAAGTATTGCAAAATCATCCCAAGTTGTGCTTTATTTCACAAGTGTGACTTTGTTGCAGAATAATGCACACTTGAGAGTAAACCATTATGCTAACATTTGTAGCACATTTACTTGTTGAATAGAAACAGTCTTGTCATCAACCAATTCTTAAAGCAGTGCAAAACAAAATAAAGACCATGTCAATGAATTTTGAGCGAAAGGAAAGTATTTCGCGCCA